GAAAATAAAGGTAGGGGGAATTGGGAAATAGGGATTAGCAATAGTAGGTGTTTCAACGCTTTAACTCGTATATCACATGGGTGCTGAGATAGTGGGTGGGACTAGGGGGGCAAAAGATAGGTAAAAAGGAGATTGAAAATGGAGCACATGAAAGTGTGGCTCTCTCTCTTGCTTTTGTAGACTCTTCTTTTGGCCTATTCTCCTTCTCCTCCACTTGCCAGCTTTCCCTCATGTGCATTTGTGGGGTTTTGTTAGCCTTAGCCGCCCCTATCCCCTGTCCTTTTATTATGAGTCAAATTCTGTAACTGAAATTTGACATTTCAATATAGTTCGATCAAATTAGACGAATGATCAGTTTATACCAGTAGCAACAAAAATCCGCTCAATTCCAAACTACTTAAAATCAGCAATATCGTTTCTTGCTATTCGTATATCATATCCCTACAATTTAATCAATTTCATTTCAATATTCACTAATTAAGTTCTGTATACACGATAATTAACAAATATTGTTACCTAATTATATTGATTAAATCGTACTACGCTTAGTGAAAGAGAAAAGACGGCACTAGCTAGTAGCTAGGCCTTCATCCATTTCCAGGAGAAAAAAAAGGTAATTTTCCGTCCGATATAATTACCTTATATGGCGAGTCTACGCATACCTTATCTTTTCTATTTACTCACCTTCAACTTCTGGAAACATTTATTAGTTAATGAATTTATTAACAAATAAATTGAAAGGGAATCAAACAATTGTTTGTTCGATTACAAAAGATATTAGCTGGCATGTATACTTAATCAATCAATAATTGATGAATAAATTAATTAACAAATAAATATATAATTTTTATCCATAAGCAAGACATCAAGAGAAACAATAAGTAAATACTAAGAAATTCAAAGAAAAATAAAAATAAAAAAGGTAAACACAGTGGAGGTGAGGTAGAAGTTTTGAGAGCAAAAGAGGATAAAAAGAGGGGACGTGTATACAATAAAATACACCAACATAAAAACTCTCAATTATTAACAAAAAAAAGTTTAGAAAAAAATTAAAAAGAATTTAAAAAAAAAGGAGAAAAAGACACCTCGGCATCGTAACGAGCCACTTAGCCGAGCCGATCGGGGTGAGATGCAACTGATCCGGCTCCACCGGCGGTAAGGAGGCCGGTCAGAACAGTCATGGCTCGGATTTGCATCTCTAAAGCTGCTATGTAATCGGTAGTTTCTTCTAGAAGGTTTGGAAACGGGAGTTTCTGACAACCGGGAACTAAACGGCCGAGAACACGAACTTTCCGCTGCAAAGCCGGTACTCGCTTCTTCGCCGCCAACGGTTTCTTCGACTTTATATTGATGCTGTTCACCTTAGCTTTCTTATGCTTCTTATTAATTTGGCTAAGTCTGAGGCTGAGCCGGCCAGTGAGAATCGCTCTACTCCAACGACTCCTTCCTTTCGCCGTGACGGCGAGGACTCTGTCGGCGGTGTCCCTGACGGCGCGTCCGGCGATAACCGGTGACGGACTATCATCACTACGGCGGACTTGACGCAAAGCCTGGAGAAGTTTAGAAGAGTAGATCTGCTGCTCGTTTTGAGTTCTCCACCTCGATTGATCAAGGCTAGCGGTTGGCTCACTTTTGCCGTTATCTCCAATTTTTCTTCTCTTTTTGCGCTTGGATTCTCGGGAAGGGTTGGAGTTTGCATCGGGATTCGAGAAGGTAGAGGATGACGCCATCAGAAGGAACAATTTTCTGATGCAAAATTCGGAATGATTCTCACGAATTGTACTTCTGTTAATAGATTCAAACTGCAGGAAAAGAAAAAAAGAGGCGATGAGATTCTGAAACAGGTTAAAAGCTTTTTCTGAAACTGATTCTGTGTGTAAACTTGCTAAATCAGGTGAATCAAAAGCAACGCTTTTGTGTCCGTACGTAAACACCTATACACATAAGGTAGTAGTAACATGATACTCGTTTGACAGAATGAATACAAAAGTGACTCAACTATATCAAATTCAATTCTCAGGAATCTCCGTTTTAACAAAAAAAAAATGAAAATCAGAGCAACAAAACGAGAAAAAGAGAGCACAAGTTGAGTTGCAAAACAATACCTGAGTAGTGAGTGCGGCGGCTGCGACGGCGGTAGGTGGCGGAAGGAATGAATAAAACGTAGAGAGAGAAAGAAATGGGGGAGGAGAGTTGAAGGAAATTGGGAGGGGGAAGGGGTGAGTTTTGTATAGGAAAAGAAGAAGGGGACAACCCACGCGTCCTTTGTTTATTGCTTTCCCTTTTCCCATTTCTCTCTCTTTCATTTTCGTGCACCGAGGTTCTCTCTTCCCGCCCTTATTCTTTACTTTTCTTTTTTCCTTTTTCTT